GCCAACTCTAGCTCAAGGGGTCGGAGGTGAAAGAAAGAGAGAGAGATGTCTGCCTTTACCCAACTGCTCTCTGTGAAGGCTCTTTTCAGTTAAATGTCAAGTTCCTCTCCTGGCTTCAGGGGCCCTCTTGCTTTATCCCCCACTTTTGTACTCTTTCTACTCCTTCCTGGTTTCTTTTGTGATCTTTTGCCTTAAAATATTTTCATATACATGCCTCTATATTTGAAATATTCTCTGCTCACCTTTCCTCGGCTATTTTCTATTTGTTAATATACAGCATAGGCAGCCCTAGATTGGAGGCGTAGGGTGTGTGTGTGTGTGTGTGTATGTGTGTGTGTGTGAGAGAGAGACAGACAGACAGACAGACAGACAGAGAGACAGAGAGACAGAGATAGAGAGCACATACCCTGTGTGCAAAGAGGCCAGTGTATGTGTATGTGTGTGTGAGAGACAGAGAGAACACACGCCATGTGGGCAGAGAGGTCAGAAGAAGATGTCTGCCATCTTGCTTTATCATTTCATACATTACTCCTTTGAGAAAGGATTTCTTACTAAACCTGGAGATTAGCTATAGGCTAACAATATACCTGTCTCAACCCCCCTCAAAATACACAACCACACCTGTATTTTGACAATGGGTGTTGGGATCCAAACACAGGCCATCCAGCTTTTGAAACAAGTGCCCCTCTACTGCAAGTCCCCTCTCTGGCCCACATGATTCTGTGACATGATCCAGGTCATGCTCCCATGCGACTTTGCAACACTGCCACACGACCTTCCTTCTCTACCAGCTCCAAGTGCTGTACCATGATGTAAAGAACATTACAAACCCATTTAGTACAACCATAAACTGAGGCACTATCTAAGTCATGCTTGAGAACTAAAGATGTTCAAACATTCACTTTGGTGGATGGACATATGAAATGCTCTGGCCTTCTAAGTCACAGGGTCAGTGTCAAATATATGCCTAGAACCCAGATGATTTCCAATCATCTCTAGCATGATGGAGAACAAAGTCATGCAAAATCTGCAACCAAAACAAAACTTAAACACCCCCAAGAACAAAATATGTATGTAATATATATTGAGCACAAATCCTAACTGCTGTTAAGAACCAAATAAACTGCATGGGAACCAAGCAACTTCATTCTCTCTGCTCTACGGATATGCCTGAAGTACTGGCATAATAGTGAAAGGAAAAAGCAGAAGTTAGACAAAGAGTACGAATAGTCAGCTTTTAAATGTAAGACATTATTAAAATATGAGTATTAAGTACAGAACTGGAGCACCTGAAGAAGGCATGAAGCATCTACACTGTGGGTTATTTTTAGTATTCCTTACTAATCTGAGTGAAGTCCTAAGTGCATCCTGTGAGTGTCACTCTATGCTGGCACTATAATGGTGGCGAGTGTACACGCTGTACATGCAAGTATCAGTCTATGCTGGTGCTATAATCATGAGTGAACATGTAGCCAAGATGCTTTCAGATGTCTGTGTTTCACTGTATCACAGGGAATAGCTGAGAACAGGCAACTGCATGGTCTCCTCAGGGATGCTGAAGGCCTCGCCCATCCTCTGCTAAGAACTGTTATAAAACTATGAAGACTATAGCATCACAGAGTTCACAGCAAGATATATTTTCTTATAAAAATACTGACTGCTGTTTGCTTTTGCTTTTTATAACCCAGGTGGGGTTTTGTGTTTTGTTTTTGAGATAGATTTCACTCTGTAGCCCATGCTGGCCTGGTACTTTTGGCAATCCTGCTTCAATCTCACATGCTAGAATAGACTCACAGATGTGAGCCACTACACCCAACCTTTTAAGTAATATGCCCTAGTTTCATTTTCCCCCTTTTCTTTTCTGTTCTTTTTTTTTTTTTTTCTTTTGGAACTAGACTTTTACTCTGTAATCCTGCTGCCTCAGCCTCCTAAGCACTGGGGTTATAAGTCATCATGCCTGTCCTACGTTTGTTTTTTTGGTTTTTGTTTTAAAGATTTTATTTATTTATTATGTATACAACATTCTGCTTCCATGTATATCTGCACACCAGAAGAGGGCACCGGATCTCATAACGGATGGTTGTGAGCCACCATGTGGTTGCTGGGAATTGAACTCAGGACCTCTGGAAGAGCAGTCGGTGCTCTTAACCTCTGAGCCGTCTCTCCAGCCCCGTGTCCTACGTTTCTTAACCCTTACACTGCCACTCCAACTGTCACAGATAATTTTAGGGCCATCTCTTAAGCCATTTATTGACAAGCACTAATAAGCACTGCTTTGGTACTACACACTGCAGTATATGCTCATGTAGTGGAAACTACTACATAGATGCTCACAAACTCAGAAGCGACAGACTAATGAAGGTTATGGGGGAAAGGAGGGGAGACCCAACACTGAATCTGCTTGAGAGAATTCCCATTGCCAAATCTGGGACAATGTGATCTCCAAGAGAAGTGGTTACAAAAATGAGTTCCTGCTATAGTGGCAGGATGCTCACAAGTCAGGAGACTTAGAAAGCTCCACTTTAGGTGGACTCTGAGCCTCCCAGGGAATATACAGAGCCAAGTACAGCAGTAAAGTGCTGTGGTCTCCCCTTCCTTGGCCCATAAAAACAGCTCAATGTGCTAATCCATGTACAACTTCCCTTGCGCTGCTCTGTGACCAGTGTGCGATGTCTTTTGAAGAGATTTATTTGACCCTCTAAATCTAAGTCTTAAGCGGATGTTCTTCTGTATATGTGTTTCTTTTATTGGTTAATTAATAAAACACTGATTGGCTGATTGGCCAGACAGGAAGTGACGTAGCTGGGCAGAATCAGAATATAAGCAGGGAGAAACAGGAAATCGATCTCTTCTCTGTGGAGATGCTTAACAGTCGTCATGTGAGCCGTCAAAGGAGTTGAGGTCCGGACTTTTCTCTGGTAAGATACGTCACAGCCTTGTGGCAATTCATAGATTGATAGGAAATGGTTAATAATTAAGACAGAGCTAGCTAATAAGAAGCTTAAGCCATCAACCAACAGTTTCGTAATTAATATAGCATCTGTGTGTTCATTTGGGGCAAGAAGTCTGTGGGACCAGGCTGGCGGGAAAGAATCTCCATATTAGATCCAAACCCTTTATTCTCTAAATTGGTCACTTGCTTAGATTTTATGCTATTGACTTCTTTAAATTGTTTTAGATTTATCTTATTATTTTATGAGGTTTATGCATGCATGCATGTATGTATGTATGTATGTATGTATGTATGTATGTATGTACACCATGTGCATGCCCAATGCCCTCAAAAGTCAGAAGACTGTTTGGATTCCCTGAGGCTGAAGTTATAGATGATTGTGAGCTACCATGTGGGTGGTAGGAAATGAGCCCAGATCCTCTGAAAAGCCAGCCTCTTAACCCCTGAGCCACCTCTCCAGACCTACCCTAGAAATCTCTCCCAGTCTTTACAGTAGTTATTTAACTTGGATCTAGCTCTTTAACAGAACATCATACCTGAAAATTAGTTTTCTCTTCAAGTTTATACAAGAAACTGTTTTCAAAGTCATTAACACACACACACACACACACCCCTTGCGCATGCATACATAGTCAGTCAATGGAGCACACCAATAATTCCAGAGTTCAAAATGATTGAAAATCTGAAATGAGATGATAATGCAGGATCCTGCCTCCACAATCAATACATCAAAGCTAAATCCCATGTGAGTAATTTTCTGTCTTAATGAGAAAAACATTCTCATTTTTAGTCACATGTGACAGGCAAAATTAATTCCTGTTAATTGGTTCTTTTACGCTAGTTTTAGAAATATAATAGATTTATATATAATTTTCTTAATCCAACAACATTAGTTTTCTTACACTTCATGGGAAATTGTTTTATTTCAGTCAGAATTTCTTAAGAACATACTCTGAGCACAAGGAGAAGTTCCCAGAGGAGGATTTGCAGAATTTTGACAGAGATAAATAAAGCACAAGTCATTTGTTAAAAGCTTACTAATAGGCAAAGGCATACATAAGATCCTGACCTCATCAAATATTACCATGCATAATAGTAATATTGATAGGAATGGCCCTTGTGAGCCAAAGGAAACCGAACTGAATTCGTGAAACTTAAGTTTTCTTTCCTCTTCACTAGGAATACACTCTAACTACCTGCAGGAAGTTATTTCACCAAACGCTCAGCCTTCAACCGAAGGATGTGAGGCCAGGAAAGGGCAATGTCCACACTTGTTCCTTTGAGGGTTAGCTTCATCTAGTGGTCAGGGAGTTCCTTTCTTCATTTTTAAAAGAAAATCAAGTTTATGCTATCCTTTCTAGTCTTATTACTGTGAATAAATACTATTTTGCAAGTATTCAAAATAGGAAACATGGTTTTATCTGTACTGTTGAATATTTATCATGAAAAAATGAACAGCAAAGACCAGAAAACTGACCTAAGCTACACTGACATAAAGATTTTCTCCAGTCATAATAGATTAGTTTAAATAATTTAAATTAGCCTAAGAGCTAGTCAAATTCTGAGAAATTTCATTGGCTAGATATCAGAGATTCTAGGTGCCAGTTTAAAAAGCATTCACATACTAAGAAATCTGTTTAACTGATGTTAGGCAAGTATCCTTTTTTGCAATCTCAGTAAGAGCACCGTGAAGGGGGAGAAGACTTCCCCCCATGCAACGGCAAGCACTGGTCAGTTAGGTGTAAGGAAATTTTGATATAACTGCAGACTATTGAAGATGTGGGTGACTACCAAGTGTTTTCAGATCACAATTAAAGAAAGAAACATGCCAGGAATTGATCATTTTAAGTTATTAAAGGTTTAAGAAAGACAAAACCTTAATATTTGAATGTACAAATCTTTGCTTAAAAAGGCAATCTTCTGAGCTGCTCTCAACTGTAACTATGAATTCACAGATGACATTCAGCACGAAAGGGTCGGTAATAAAGTGTCATATCAGGAGAGGAAGGAAGGAAGAAATATGTGAAGACCAACATTTATCACTCACCTCATGAGTCAGCTCGGCTATCTGGTCCTTCAGTTCCCTAATGTACTGGTTAGAGTCGGACCTGTTCAGTTGTCCTTGGAGCTTGCCCTCTTCTTTCTGTTGTGTGACAATACAACAAGAAAAATCACCAGGCAACTTTTATATCATGAACTAAAATATTTTAACCACAGTGCAATAGTTTAGTTAGCTAAATTCTGATCAAATCCATTCTCTGAAAATTCTTAATGAATTAAATAGAGAGCTTCTAAAAAAAATGCCTAATGAATGCTTGACAAAGCATAAGCTTCATAAAACATACCTTGAGAAAGAATTAGAAAGCCCGGCTTTGGTGGCGTATGCCTTTAATCTCGGGAAGCAGAGGCAGGTGGATCTCTGTGAGTTTGAGGCCAGCCTGGTCTCCAGAGCGAGTGCCAGGATAGGCTCCAAAGCTATACAGAGAAATCCTGTCTCGAAAAACCAAAAAAAAAAAAAAAAAAAAAAAAAAAGAAAAGAAAAAGAGAAAAAATTAGAAGTTAATGATCAAACAGGTTCTCTAATGACAAAATTACCCTTGGATTTCTTTTTTTTTTTTTAAAGCCTATTTATGTCTTTTTTTTTTGTTTTTTGAGACAGGGTTTCTTTGTGTAGCTTTGGAGCCTATCCTGGCACTCGCTCTGGAGACCAGGCTGGCCTCGAACTCAGAGAGATCCGCCTGCCTCTGCTTCCCGAGTGCTGGGATTAAAGGCGTGCACCACCAATGCCCAGCCATGTCATTAGTTTCTTATGCAGTTGTTTCTACCTGAACCATAAAAGCCAGTGCCTAGTCAAAAGCTGATGAAACTCCCAGTTACACTTGAAATCTTTCAAAGAAACAAACAAACAAAAAATCCTCCAACTCTAGAAAGGGATGTGAGTCGTCAGGAATGTGTGCTGGGAATCCTACATATAGCTGATTTTTAAAAATGCTCTTGGGACTAAGAGATGGCTCAGCAGTTCTTAGTGTGTACTGCTCTTAAAGAGGACCTGAATTCAGTCTCCGGCATTCATGTCAGGTGGTTTACAACAGCCTGCTCCAGAGGTTCTGACACACCAGGCACTCTCCTCTGGTTTCTTCAGTCAACTGCACTCGCAAGCACATACCCCACACAGACCCAAATGCATACACATAACCAAAACAAACAAAAGGGTAGAGTAAGTCTTTATGGTACGTCTGATCCTAGCAGTTGATGAGTAGAGGTGGGCCATTCTCCAAGACTAAAGCCACTGGACAAAGAGCTGCCTTTTTCTTTTCTTCTCAGCACACATCCCCTCGCTGGCTTGAAAGTTTCTATAGAAAGTAGACTGGCCTCAAACTCAGAGTTCTCCCTGCTCTGTGTCCCCAGGGCTAAGATAAAAGGTGTGAGCCAGCATGCCTGGCCAGTTTTCATATACCATAAATGACAAAAGTGAACTTTCTAGATAACAGGACCCCTAAAGAGTGAAAACAGTTTTTAAGGTATCCCCACAATATTTAAAATTAGGAAACCATGTCTTGATGCTTTAAGTATTTAGAAGCTCTGAGTCACTCCTGAGATCAAAAGAGTACCGAGTTACTTTTAAGGGGGCTAATCATTCTGTTTTCCTCAATGGAAAGAACTATTTTTAACAGTTTTTAGTATAATCTTCCTATAACAGTCTGTACATACTTGGTATGTAGTTAAGTGTGGTTAGTTTTGCCACACTACAGACAGTAGCAGTATAGGCTGAACGACATTCAGCATAGCAGTGAGGCATATGCTATGTTGTTAGAGAACTCTACCAGCCCCTGAGAGCTGCCTTAGGGTATTTACAGGCTTTTAAAGTCAGGTTTAAAACTGTCTTAGGCCTTCAGAATAGAGAGTCACATGGAAAAACACTTTCCAGTGTAGCAATCCCTTCTGCAATCTTTCAAAATCACAAGATGATAAGACCTTAGACTCCTCTCTTCAGACCTCAAAGTGTATACAAGCCCACCTTCCACTCTATGATTATATACTTTCCTCAAATACTGATGGCAGAAGGTAGAAATAACTGTAACTGTTCAAACAACAACAATGAGCAGCTACCCTACAGTCAGAAACCCAGTCCCCCATCCTGCTCCCTCAGTGAGAACTGTCTTTGTGGCTATGATCACGTTAACCGAACCTGGTCTTTTCTTCAAATCCTTTTATCAAATTATTCCTATACACTGACTTTTTGTTCTGTTTTCTTTTGGCAACTTTGGGAGGCAGGTGGGTTTCTACGAGTTCCAGGAAAGGCTCCAAAGCTATACAGAGAAACCCTGGCTTGAAAAACCAAGGAAAAAGAAAGAAGAGAAAACCCTGCAGTGGAAGATGACCCGCTAGACTGATCTGTAGGGAGAATCCCTGATGCTGACCAGGCACTGACCACGCCCGCTTTGGCCTAGTCAGCGGTACCTGTAATCAGGGTTTCTCCCTACACTGAGAACTCATACTCATACAACTCATACTCAGATTCAAAGTAACTCACATTCACTTACAACTTGGAAATCTCAGTTTGAGCTGATGGCTCAGAACAGCAGAAACACTAAGTCAGAATTCCAGCAAAATCATTTCTTAAGTCTTCCCTCTTTTTCCATTTAAGTGAACCAATAAAGCCTCCTCATTTCTGGCACTTTTCAGCAAAAATAATAATTAATACATTGAGCATACATGAGCCCTTCTCATGTGAGGTTCTCTACGGGAATTAAGCTCCAACAACTATAGCATAATTGTGTAAAGGTTTAATAATGCTTATGGCACCTGGGCTGGTACTAACTAGGTACCACCCTGTCAAGAACTCATTCAGATAGTTTTCTGAATGGCTTAAGTCTCCTGTGGCACTCGGGTGGAGACAGACAGCACTTAAGCCAAAAATTGTTCTCGTTCTTTGCAAGTAAGTAAACAATACAACAACTTTGTTTGTTACTTCTATATTCTCTCTCTCTCTCTCTCTCTCTCTCTCTCTCTCTCTCTCTCACACACACACACACACACACACACACACATTTCTTTGAGACAGGGTCTCTCTATGCAGAGTTCTTGCTGTCCTGGAATTCCCTCTATAGACAGGCTGTTCTCGAACTCAGAAATCAGCCTGTCTCTGCCTCCTGAGCGTGGGGATTGAAGGCGACTGCCACTAAGCCCGATTTAGTTCTACAAAAGTTAAAACAAAGTAAAGTGGTTATACAGGAGTTAGAGACATCTGACTCATTTTTGGTTGTGATTTTACAGAATTCAGAACATGAGAGATGATGATGCAAACAGGTAGGAGATTTATACAAAGCTCCAAGCAGAATGTGCTCTGGATTTGTTCACAGGTTCCCATCTTTCCTTACATATCTATTTCAATTTCTGCTAACTTTACTGGGAAATGCAATACAAAGGTGACAGGGGATGCTCTTCTGTATATATGTTTTTCTTATTGGCCAGACACTGATAAACACTTATAAAACACTGATTGGCCAGACAGGAAGTGACGAAGCTGGGCAAAATCAGGATATAAGCAGGAACAAACAGGAAATCACTCTGTTCTCTGTGGAGACACTGATCAGTCCCCATGTAGGATGCCAGAGGATTAACAGGTCCGGACCTTTCTCCAGTAAGATAAGATCACATGGAAATACTTAGATTAATAGAGATGGGTTAATAATTAAGGCAGAGCTAGCCAATAAGAAGTCCCAGTCATTGGTCAACAGTTTTATAACTAACAGCGTCCATGTGTTCATTTGGGGCTGAAGTGTCAGTGGGGCCTAGCTGAGACAAAAAAAAAGCCTCACATTACATAAAGGAACTCGAAAAAATGCTACAACCCTTTGTATATACCATTCAAGCCAATGATTCTGTTCCTCAGTCTTATAATTTAGAGCGGCATCTCATTTTTGATATCCCACATTTTATGCATAAGAAAATTTATTATTTACAATTCATGTTTACATGTACATGTCTGTGTGAATATATATACATGAGTACAAGTGCCCACCAAGTCCCAAAGAGGGCGTTGCATCCCCTGGAGCTGGAGTTACAGGTGGTTGTAAGCCACCACCTGGATGCTGAGAACACAACTCAGGTCTTCTGCAAGAGATGTATGTATGTGTTCTTAACCACTGGACCAACTCTCTAGCTCCTAAAGTTTGTTTTTAACCTGTTTTATTTTTACATATTTCCCATTGCTCAGAATTAAATGAACAGTTGAAATGAACAATTTATACATAATTCAAAATTCTAAAGAATATAGCTAAGCATTTGCTTGCAGCCTTCAAAATGTATCCTTGTATGCATAGAACATTAGAATATTTTCACATTCATAACTACAAATTCATGTAAAAATAAAAATTTAAAACATAGATCAGACTCTATACTTACTAAAGTTATTTAATATTTCATATAGATCGTGCTATTCAATATTTTTAAATATTGGTATTTGATATAAATTTTAAGTTCATTGCATTTTTTAAATATTTCAAATACAGAACAAAAACAAATTAGGAAAAGAAAAGTGATTTGTAAATTCACCACTAAACTTCAGTGTGTCACCTGGAGACCTTACCCTAAGGTCGTCCTTGGCTCCACACTAACTCTACCTTAAACTGATACCTCCTCAAAGAAGGGAAAAGTGGAGCAAAGGGGATCGAGCAAGCAAGCAAGCAGGAAGGAAGAGTGCACTGGAGAAGAGGCCCTAAGGAGGGGACAGTGCTCACTGAGATGAAGCCAGTGACACCACTGCTCTTACAGAAGTAGTCTCCCAATTCCAGCATCCTAAATGGTAGCAACACTGGAGGAAGCCACTGTTCATCCACAGGAGACCAACTTGATAACAGTCACTCATCAGGCATCTTCAGCAATCCTTTGGTGTATGTGTCTAATTTTCATATCCTATCATGCTTACAATCTTGATTAAATAAGAAGTGAACTCCCTTACTAGGAAGACGTGAGCTGATGTAAAATTCAACACAAATAGGATGATTAGCCCAAGATAAGCTCTCAGAGTGTGAGGGAGAAGGTGAGAAACACAGAGGGACCTTAGGTCTGAAAGGCTGTAGAATCAGCATTAACCGTCATTTATAGCCATTCTCGTCTATGGGGACGCTTGCAATGGAG